AGAAAGAGAGAAAAATACATTTTTTCTGCACTGGTTCTACCAATAGAATTCGCTATTAGATGACAGATACCCATTACCCAATATAACGGACCTCTTGAACAAGCTGGGACGCTGCCAGTATTTCACCACCTTAGATTCAGCTAGCGGCTTCCACCAGATCCAGATGCATAAAAACGACATCGAAAAAACCGCATTCAGCACAGAAAACGGGTATTATGAATTCTTACGCATGCCCTTTGGTTTGAAGAACGCGCCGGCTACATTCCAAAGAGTCATGGATGATATTCTATATCCCAATATATTGAGCAACTCTAACATCGAAAGATATAACATCCCATTAATAATAGTTATTCATTATAGAAGGGAAAAAAGTATTTAGATTTTAGAGCGAAATGTGGTTTGTCTTCCGTCGTGAAGCGGAGGGAGACAACCTTAGGAGACAACAACAAGGTAGCCAAAGGGCGCTAGGAATGCTGGAGGTGGGACAGGGGAAATCGTTATCTTTCGTTCTCTATTCAACCTTAGAGTGTTTCTAGAGATTTCATTCTATTGCATTAAAATTGGCCTGTTGTTGACCTGTCAAACTTGTATAGGTAGGTAGTTCATTTTTTGGCCATGCCATTAGCTGATTTATTATAAGTTTGTTTCGTGCCATAAGTTGAGTTTTTTTCAATTAAATTTTTTTTAAAACTAGAAGCGACGTATCCTGATCCTAGGGAGTGTGTTGATTTCAGTCCATTTGCTGAGGAGATCTGTATATCAAAATTGTCCACTACCGTTTGAATCAGACAATCGGACTTCAAGCTTTTTGCTCCCCGTAGTTCGAAGATCGCATGTTACGGCAACCTGAAGTGGCTATTGAAGATTTGTACCTCATTACCACAGCATCTACGTCAAAGTTACAACAAATTCCAAAGCCATACAGAATATCAACAAGTTGTCTTGATGAATAAGCGTGATGGAGTGTTACACCAAGAGACACTTGTAGGCATATACGTTTTTTCAATAAGTCGTTGGATTATTTCCTTTCGGTTTGCATGATGTACCAATACACTGACGTTTTCTACCTAGTTTATCATGGAAAATGTATATACAAACCGGACAAACCTACTAGACACATAGGGAGTAATAAGTCGAATTGGCTTGTAGCCGGTTAAGGCAAAGGCCTTTAAATTTTATTAATAATTCAAAATGGAAAATAATCAAATACATACATTATAATATAAGTAACGTTCTACTATAAATTCTCATCAAAATTTGTTGAAATAGCCGCATTTGCGCTTGCCCCCATCATTAGGAATCCCAAAAAAACCGTAAAAAGACCCACAAATTTCGCGGCTGAGACGCTTTTCTTCCTGCAACTGCCACTGCTGTAAGGATCATCACCCCCCCCCCCCGAATTTCAATAATATGAAGGAACTTGCACGGACGATCAATGATCCAGCGTGGCGATCCTGCAGTGAAATGGGTATCTGTCAACTGGTCCAATTTAAGTCTATGTGTCTAGTAGCCTAGTCCTGTCTGTCTAATTAGTTCTACTTATGTTAATTTTTGGAGTCCGAGCCCCCACATAGTAATGTTGAAATTTTGGCGCCTATGACCTGAATAGATCTATTGTGCTTCCCCTTTTTCTAGTAGGTTCCCAGGTCCCAGGTTGAGACTTTTCGCAAATCTCACGATTTTTCCGGGATTGGTTCGTTTAACATCCGCAGCAGTCAAATGTGTCTGCTCCAGATACATGAGTCTTCTGTGACATAATGCTTCGCATTTGCAGAGTATATGTTCGGCAGATTCGGGTGCTTCTTTGCAGAAGCGGCTAAGCTCTGATTCAGCTTAACCCATTTTTTTCAGGTGGTAGCCAAGAGGGCAGTGGCCGGTAAGGAGACCCGTTATGAGCCTCAAGTCTGGTTTGCTGAAATCGAGTAGTTCCTTTGCCTTTGTTGACTTTAGCAAGATGAATTTCTTCGCCTATCTAAGTCCTGGAGTATTGTTCCAATGAGAGGCCTGTTGTGCCTCTACCCATTTTTTGAGTTCGGTCCTTATATGGCTTTTTATTACGTCAAAGTAGGGTTCTGAACCGAGGAATGGTGACGCGGCGCCTTCTCTTGCAAGCCGGTCCGCTATTTCATTTCCTTCTATAATTTGGTGCCCTGGTACCCATGCTAGAATGACTCTATTGCAGTTCGCCAGTTGCTTTAGAAGTTGCTGACAGTCTCAGGCTAATCTGGGTTTAGTGACAAAGCTGTTAAGAGCCTCAAGTGCTGCCTGACTGTCAGAACTGATGAAGATTCTTGCACTTCGTAGGTCTATTTCAAGACAATTTCTGGCGCAGAGTTCTATTGAGTACGTTTCCGCTTGGAATATGTTGGGTATTTTTCCTAAGGCTACCGATAGCCTGCAGTTTGAGCCATATACGCCCACTCCGACCCCTTCTTCTGTTTTCGATCCATCTGTGTACCAGATGGATAAACCGTTTGGGAATTTATGTACGATCTTGTCACTTTTGCGGCCTTCTGCGGTCACACTAAAAAGGTGATTAAATTCGTATCTGGGTGGCATGATGTCCACCGGTTTTGTTGGTGTACCATGGCATTCTTTAATGATGCTCATATGTCCAACAAGGTCCCCCTCCTTTAGGTTTAGAGACCGTATAACCCTTGAGGCCCCATGTAGGCCTCCCTCCTCACTGCAATGTACAGAGAGATGCTATCTAACATGACCTCTATAGTAGCGGTTGGACAGGTGTTAATGACACCTGTTATTCCAAGAAATGCATATCTTTGTACAACTGCCAATCGGTTTTGCCCTGTCTGCTGCTTCACTTTTGGCCACCACACCAATGCAGCATATGTGACCAGGTGTCTTATAATCATCGTATATAACTAATAGATCATTTTTGGCTTCAGGCCCCATGTTTTACTGAATAGAAGAGTATACATACCTTCCTCGTCCAGAGTGCGGAGCAGCAGGGGGCGGATTACGAACTCTCGATTAGAACCGAAACCGCCATGTTACACCGAAATTTTGATTTCGAACGCACTCTATGCGAATGCATTTCGGAAACTTGTACCTAATCATCATCACTGACGTTTCGAGCACAATCGATGCGTATTCACTTTCGTATCGAGTGTCCGTTTCGCGTCGTGTTTCACTTGTGATAACTTGCTGAAATAGCGTCTAAACTTTCTGATACTTTGTACGACCGTGGTGATGAGACGCGTCTGAATGTCATTATACTCATGAAATCCATATAACCTACATAATTGAGTTTCATTCTAGTTTACAAAGTCTAATTTTACTTGGTTACACTCGCCTCGAAAAAGTTACTATTGTATTATAGAGCTACAATCATGAGTTTGATGTAATTTATCTTGATTGATATTAGATGTAGAATTCTTATTCATTAATATTGACATTAGCGTAATAAGAAATTCCACTCAGACATCATGGTAATTTTTTTTTTAATCGAGTTATAAAAATTTAAAATTTTTGTTGCCTAGAGGATGAAGGTGCTCCTTCCTCCTGTTTGTTCAATTTTGGTTTTCCTGTTTCGATAAAATCAAAAGTGTGTGAAGTGTCTTTTATTTTGTGCATTTTATCTTGATCGATTTGATTCTAAAGTTTGTTTTTTATTTAAAGATAATTCCCCAAGTCAAAAATTTAGTAATTATGTTGGCAACACAAGCCTTTTCTACATAAAAAATTTGAAAGCATTGACAATTTTACATTGTATTGCCAACATAATGTCAGTTTGACTTTTATCTTTAAAAAAAAAACTTTAATAAGTGTTTTTTTTTTTTTAAATCAGGAAACAATTCAATTCGAGTGGTATTAATTATGTTCAATATTTACGTTATTATACTGGGTGGGGCACGAAAAACTTTCCATCCAGGTTTTCTCAGGTGTTAGGTGTTTAATCAAAAATCGCTCAGACACGTCAATTTTTCTTTTTTGGGGGACACATTTTATTGGTATTTTCACCCCCTACCTGTGAACCCCTAAGTGGGGGTAACAGGTACCCCCAAAATTTCAAATGGACAGAGGGGTCGAGTGATATATCATTTGGTAGCTATTTTCATTGAGATTATATCCCCGAAGTTTTAAGTTGCTACTATTAACCCTGCCAAAATGAGGGCATGTCAAAGTTGGGATAAATGCTTTTTTTCGATTATACAACTCACTGTACATTATTCCCATATGACACGAGAGGATTAATAAGTGATAATCCTTCCCATATGACACGAGAGGCTTAATAAGTGATAATCCTTTTGCATGGTAACTGGTGTATTGACATTTTTTGACAAAAAATTTAAATTTTTGATTCATGAAATTATTAATTAATAAAGAATTAAAGTTTAGTTCGTTGTATAACCTTTTGAATACCACTCGAGTTTTCAGGATTACCTAATACTTTTACCTGACACTCAACGCGTTACCAGCAACACCACTCCTCCTTCGGAGTCGTGGTGTTGCTGCGTAACGCGTTTCGTGACAGGTAAAAGTATTATCCGGTAATCCTGAAACCTCTTGTGGTATTACATTCGATAATCTAAGCTGTATAGTTTTTACCTGTCACACCCATGCGTAGGTAACAGGTAAAAACCACATAGCATTTTTCCATTGATTTTTCCTAACTTTGACAAGCCGCCATTTCGACAGGGTAGTTAGTAGCAACTTGAAACTTAGGGGATATAATCCTAATGAAAATAGCTATCAAATGACGTATCACTCGACTCCCCTTTTCATTTGAAATTTTGTGGGTACCTGTCACCCCCACTTAGGGGTGCACAGGTAGGGGGTGGAAATACCAATAAAATGTGTCCCTCAAAAAACAAAAATTGACGTATCTGAGCGATTTTTGATTAAACACCTAACACCTGAGAAAACCTGGGTGGAAAGTTTTTCGTGCCCCACCCGGTATAAGAAAATACTTATTTTATCTTGAGATAATAGATTTTTCTGTATATAAAAGGCAATTCGATTGAAAAAATATTATTCAATTCAAAGAGCTGAATGTTGCAACATGAAATTCTTCGCTACTTTGTTTTTCGCCCTTGTGGCAGTACATGTAAGTACTCATACATTTAATATCACATCATATTCAGAATATTTTCAAGTAAACAAGTTAATTATTCTAGGCCAGTACTTAATCTCCTATTGAGGAAACCATGACCGCCTCAAAACTTGTCGCCGACATCGTCGACTTTGTCGTCGCTGAAACCTCACTTATTCTTCTGCAACCTTTGAACATCTGGGCCGAAGAACTAGACTCCAACAAGGACAACTACGAAAAAGTCCTCGTGAATCGTTTGACCGAAGTTTCAACTACAATCAACGAAGTAGCCATTTCTTTGTTGGAAGCTGCAAGTGTAGACGCCAGCGACAGCGGCAAAACTTTCATCAATTGCCTCGCAGGCGAACAGGCTGGAGTCAACGCCCTTATTGGCGCCATGCAGCAGCAAATGGTCGACTGCGCATTCGTAAACTACGAGAACGCCACCGGTTTGGTCAAGACCGTTCTGAAGCAGATGGATGAAGTTCTAGATAACTTCCTTACTCTGAGTTCTGCATTGGCCGACTGCACCGAAGGAGACTATTACTGTTTGGGCTCTTTCGCCCAGAATGTTATCCTACAATTCGAAGTTTCTGTTCTCACCACCATAGCCGATCTTGGTGAAGTAAGAGATCTACTTTACAGCGTTGTAGAAAGCACACAACATTGTCCAACCTCTGAAGATGTTAAAGAACATGTCGTAGAAGTTCTTAATAACATCGCAACATGTGTTCACAACAAACAATAATTATTTTCACTTCCAATCGAGCTTGTGGTGTTTTCTATGCCAAAGCACAACACAGCGTACTTAACAAAATCTCTGATTTTGTGTATGTTAGGTTAGTTCTTCAGCATCCGGTATTTTTGTACCTTTTAGCTTTAGGATATAACTGGTAAAGGTAGAGTTTTAAGTGTTGTCATTTTGTATAGTCAGTTTGTCATAATTGTTGAGTCGACTTGAAAAGTAAAACATTATTACATACCTATTAGTTTGCTTCAAACATTTTGCATTGAAAACGTTATTCAGAAACTGTAAATGTTCTCTATACAATATTTAAAAACCAAAATTTAAGCCATGCTTATTTTGCAACATTTTATTCCCAGACCCCCTTTCGAATTCCGAAACTTGCTGACAAACAAATCGCATATGCCCGTTTCCATCGCAAATATTATTACATGTGCATCCATGATTTTGCTGCTGTGCCAAGAGCGTCAGGCATCATCCTCAAAAGAAAACATAATTCCGAAATGGAGCGTACGCGCAAATCGTTTGCCATAAATAATGCATTAAAATCTTAATTTTCGTTTCTTTAAGCTGGCTTTCTGGAAAACATAAGGAATCTGTTCATTTAGAACGTGGTCCAAGTTTATTTTTCTTCTGATGTTCTGCCAAAGAAATCTGCACGCCTGATTTTGGTTTTCGAGAAACAATTAACTGATACAAGAAAAGCCACAAAAGTAATGAGGACACGAAACAAACAAGCGAATTAAAGGATAAATAAATAATTAGGCAAAAGGGGTGTGGACATTTTCTTTCAGCAAGGGCTTATTTATTATTAGGAACTAATAAGTAGGTAGGTACTTTAAATCAAGACTTTTTTATTATAGTAGGAAATGAGTAGTTAGATCTCCTTTTGACCCATTTCAAAAAATTATTATGTATTTTTGATGATTCATCAATTTTATATGTTCCAACGACTTTTGACGAAAAAATAGACTGTATGCAAAGGGTCGAGAAAAAAAAATTGTTTGTTCAGGAAAAATTAGGGGCCTTTTGTCGTCTAAAAGGCAAAATACCTTAAACATCAAAAGAATGCCCATTAACTTTTTTTGTTTAATAACTATAGCTTCGAATAAAATAGCGCGCTGTAACAAGGTTTTTGCCTTCGCAGCGCCATTCTTCTTTGAAGCCTTCTCACACTGGCATTTTTAATATCATTTTTCGCTGGGATATAGAAAAATGTCCCACAATATCCTTCAAGCAGAGGGTTGTCCTTTTTTCTTTATCACCATTGATTTTAATAATGCATTGTCTACTTTTATGTCCCTATTATCCCGGTAACGACCAGGAACATGAAGCATTTTGTAGACACTTTTGGAGTTTTTTCTTTCCACTGGACACCATTATTATTTTATTATTTTCAACACAAAGTGTATCTTCTTAACATTGTGACAAACTTTAATGAAAGTCTTCTGTTTAAATTGGGTTATTGTTGAAGCCCTATGCAGTCCCAAAGTTCAGACTTGATGGATGCATGGGAAAGATTAATCTCTCTGTCTGGTTTTGTGTTTTGAATTGTTGTGTTGCATTGTTACACTGCGAACTGCATGGATCTATTGTGTCCCCCTGGGTGCTTCAGTTGATAGGATTCCCAGTCAAAGCACCTCATCCAGCTTTAAAGGTTCTATGAACGCAAGTAAGCTTGATGGTTCTATGGATGGAATCATCCCTGGGGAGCTCGAGGAACGGAATAAGTTTTCTTAGAGATGCTTATTCTCTCCTTCCAAGCCAAACTTCCTCACCAGCACTCTCTCTCGTGATTCTAGTAATTGCTTGTCTAGCGGTCTTCTCCACCACCATGTGAAAAGGAGCGAGACCTACAATTGTCTCGATGATGGCTGCTGTAGGACAAGTTTGCACGCCAGGCGCTGTAGTACCCAACGTAGTGCGACAAATCACCAGTTGTGACGTAGACAGCATATCGATTCTCGCCTTGACGTAGGCTGTTTGCACTACAGCTTATGATTCCGCAAACTTTTGCTTTATGCATACTTGGTTTTAGTACATTAATTAACATTCTCAAACAACTCCTTTTCAGATCTCGTTTTCATCTTTCTTTTTGTCTATTATGTTAATCAAACAAAATTTCACAATAATTTTATTCATAAATTTAAGTTCTAAACTACGACCGCTAGCGCAAACAGCTGACGACTTAGTTATGACGTCGGAAATGGTGACACACCAATATGGCGGTGATTACCAAAAACCAGGCCGATAAGCAATTCGTAGTAGTGTGTATTATCCTTGAATTGGCCTTTCGATTAGTAATGCTTTTGGGATCATCAATTCCTTTGTAAGCGTTTACGCTTTGCAACAAGAATTGCTAATTCAATGTCGTATTCTTCAAATTAGGATTATTCTTGTGGTTATCATAAGTCGTCAGCTGTTATAATTTTTCTCAGATTATTGAGGAAAACCACCTATTTAAAATATTATTTCTTCAAATCTTAACTTTTTAAAAAAATGTTTACTGAATAAAAGTAGATGTTGCATTACCATGTTACCATGTATTATGTTTTTTTTTTTCAATTTTTATGTTTTTTTTGTTGGTTTATAACATTTTTCATAACATGTGCATTGTTTATGTATTTAACCAAAATCGTTTCATGCTGTAAACAACACAGATAAAGAGTAAATTAAAACCTAAGAAATTATGTGCTCTCTTTTTGTGCTGATATTTTGATTTTGTGTATTCAGAGCGTGCATTTGGGCCTTGTTGAATTTACTAACATTTTCCAACCCTGACGAGAGAATATCCTAACAAATTGAAATAATCAATCTAGAGATATTGGCTCAAAAACAACTATAGCTGAGTAGCTTCCCGTATGGGACCTCAGTACCTGCTGGGAAACTGGCTACCTAATCAAAAACTCTTCAGTTTGGAACATAGGTAGTGTTAATTGTATGTAGTGTGTGTAATTAAAATTTTAGCAAAAGAACAAAGGCGGTACCTAGTTTCAACTTTTATTGAATTATTGACTCACAATTATTATTCAAATGACACAGTATGTTTCGATTTTTAAGGAATGTTAGACCGAGGGTTTCTCTGCCGTGCTCTTGCCCCTCGTTAGTTCCAGGTTGAGAACGGTACGTTTTTCTTTGAGAATTTCATACATCTGTCAAAACTGGTATTCCAACAATAAATTGACATGTTTTGACCAATCAGATTCGAATTACGCGATAATTGCATAGTAGCTGGTGCGAAAACTGGTGTTTTGACATTTTTTGACAAAAAACTTAAATTTTTGATTTATGAAATTCTCTCATCAAATACTCATGCATTTGCTTTTCATTTCATTTTTCAGGAGATTTGTTGTTTAAAAGGTAATAAAAATTCTCATCGTTGAATCTTACTGAGCGAACCCGCGGGTATGTTATACTACATTATATTGTTGTGTGTAATTTTTGATACTTGCAATTCTCCTCGGTTTGTTTTTGACATTTGTCGATACTTTGTCTCATCTCTACTCTTAACCTTCAGGACAGCTAATTAATTTTATGTGGTGCTTCTTTCTTCCACGTTTGGTGGTTCCGAGAAAAGGTCTTTCTGAAGAAGTTAATTTTTGTCTGTCTCTGAGGGATTTTGATCTTAAATTCTCAATAATTGAATTTATGGTACATTGAGTTGCCTAAGTGCGCGTTCACATTGACACCGCTCGAGCGGTGAGCGTTGCGCGATGCCGCTGTAGTGATGCCCAAAAATAATTTTAACATTATATTTCAAATGAACAAGTTCACACTGAGGCGGCATGTCGCGCGGTGTTAACATTTTCATTTGAAATATAATGTTAAAATTATTTTTGGGCATCGCTACAGCGGCATCGCGCAACGCTCACCGCTCGAGCGGTGTCAATGTGAACGCGCACTTACGGTTACGTTGCGTTACGTTTTCGTAAAGTGCCATAATTTTGACGATGATTTCGGATTTTTACAACCATCCATTCGTGAAAAGCTGCCCTAAAGAGTATCTAGAGTAAAGACCAATCCTGGAGTGAGTGCACTCCAGGATTTCGAATCCAGACCTCAATCCAAACTAATCCAGAGTATTTTCGAGGCAAATAAAATCCATTCCAATAGGGTTTTCACTTACGGCCATAAATTTAAGTAAGTAAGTAAGCGTGGCAAAGGTCATAATCGTTGATGAGAAATATGATAATATCCTGAAATAACATCGTTAGGCCGTTGTCAAGTAGTCCAGAGTTTTGTATACCTCGGTTCTTTGATCGACCACTCAGGTGGCTGCGAGATTGAGATTCGTCGCCGTATTAAACAAGCACGGTCAGCCATCACAAGATTAATTAAAATATGGTGTAGCAATAATATCACGAAAGCCACCAAAATGTCGCTTGTCCGGTCTCTTTTCCATACTTTTGTATGACTTTGAGACTTAGACTGTTAGAAAGGCTGTAACAAAAGGTACATGTAACAAATTTGGAAAAAAAAACATCTTTAGCGGACGATTGTATCAATCACAGTCCCATTTATATCAACATTTGAAAACTAATCTACGACACTGTTTCCATTCTCGAAAAAAATGTAAATGTAAATTCGCTTGTAAAGCTGACCTGACACTTCCAGAGACCAGAGAAACAAAGAGAAAAACCCTTTTTTTTGAATTAATATATCAAATTTGCTTGTAAAAGAAACAGCATGCCATTGACAACCAGAAAATTATAAATCCTGGATTATATTGATGTCATTTCATACTGAATCCCAAGTTGTTTCCGGAAAGTATAATGGCGCCGGAAAGGATTATCAATTTATAATAAAATGATTCTCTTGTTAAAAGTTATCAAGGATTGTTTACGAGCACGATTGAAATAATGCTGATCATAGACCTTCCTTATCATCCTACATTGGGTATGTATCCTGTGCGAAATGGTTTCAATATTAACAGTTATCGTTCTGCAAGTTAAGTAGTTTTTAAGGAACTGCCGATTCCCACGGTCATAATTGAATCTGTTCAAGGTTTTTCTTAACTCAGTTAAAATTACCTATATTGCTTAAATGCAAACTACCAAAGCGTCTAAAAACTAAACGGTTTAGTATAAAGAAAGTTCTCTCTCCTAGTAAACAGTTTATTTCTTGCCAAAAGTTCCCAAGATTTAACAAATGTGACTGTTAAAAAGCTCAAATTAACATTATTATGCATAATGTTGTACAGAAGGCATGAATCTTGCGGGGGAATACACAAAATGTTCCTTAATGCCGTCATTTGCATGACAATTCGGCATTGCGTCGCGGGTGGAACTATATTAACATCCTAGAAATGATTAAATTTAGTGGCTTTTTGAAGCCCAGTGACGTACATTATTTATGTCTTGGTTGGGAGAGAAAATTTTTAAAACCACCATTATCTAAATATTCAAATTTCCTTTTCCAATGTTTATATGAGCATCAAGGAAAAGTTAAGCAACTTCAAAGCGTTTTATACCCTCAACTCTCTCGTAAGTTAAATATGAAAAGTTTGCCTTGTTTTTGAACGACATTCGGGAAAGTAAGCAAACAAGCTCGGGATTTCTTTGCTTCTAAAGCTTATTAAAGGAAAGTTTAAAGTGATAGAAACCCAGATAGATCGGGAACAACTTTCGCTCATGTTTTGTGTTTAGGTAAAGTTTTATCAACCAAATTTAATGGAACACGAAATGTATTAGTTCTATATAGAAGTATTGCGAAAGGGATTATATCAAGTTTATTTTCAATCGGAATTGTTGACGCTATTCCAAAATTTTTCCCTATTGGAAAAATATTTTAAATTATATTGATATTTGATGGAAGCTAAAAATATGTTCGGCATTTTGGCGATAAATTTAATTTTTTTTTTTCAAATATCAACGAGCAACTTTATTAAGCCAGGAAGCTTTTTAAAAACGAGTATTCAAGGAATTTGCGTTGCCAATGAAATTAAAATTCGATGTTACTGTGCGGCGCATTTCCATTTAGGTCCATTTTTCCAGGATAGAAATTTGAATATTACATTTCCATCGCATTATGAAACCATAACTAAAATAGTTCGATTCGTTACTGATATAGAGATAGAATAAAAACCCGGATGAAAAAATAAGGATTCTATGAAAACAAGTGGACGAAGCATACGAAAACTGCCCAAGAAGCGATATTAAAATAGTGATAGGGAACATGAATGCCCAAATAGGCCGAGAGGAAAAGTTCCTGTTCCTGGACTCATTAGAGAACCAACCAGAATGAAGAATGTCTAATCAATTTTGCCAGCAAGAATAAGATGGAACAGGATAAAGCTCATAACCATGTTCCATATTCTTCTACACAAAAATTTACACAAAGCTACGTGGATCATGCCAGGGCCCGTATTCTCGGGGAACAGCGTTCTCTCAAGAGAACGATTTTTCGTCTTAGTCACCCATATTGTAATTTTCATAATACTGACAAAGACAGAGCAATCGTTCTCTTGATAGAACGCTGTTCCCCGTTTACGAGAATACGGGCCCAGGTGGAGCTGCCATTTGTTACGGTTTCAAATTTCAATCCAGATTGGCATCCATCTCTTCGGCCATTACCCCAAGTGAGTCTCTTTCCCCTGAGCAACAGAAGCTTCTGAAGTTCGTAATAGGAGACATTTTTTCTTCAATGAAGTCTGACATAGGCTGCACGAATTTGGTACAGTTGAAAATCAAAACCAATTCAGACCCCATACATCAAGCAGCGATATTATCCCTTATCGAGAATCCTTCAGAATGAAGTAAATGCTGAGTTGAAGGAAATGTTGGGACAGGACATTATTGAGCCATCAGACTCCCCTTGGTCTTCCCCCATAGTTATGGTGAAGGATAGTTATCCAATCCCTTTTGTATCAGCTACACTTGACAAACTCCGTGACGCAAAGTTTTTGAGTACTCTTGATATTAAATCGGCCTACTGGCAGATCTCGGTTGGCAAAGACTCTAAGCCTCTCACAGCTTTCACTGTTCCTAATAGGGGACTGTACCAATTCAAGAGAATGCCTTTCGGTCTTGCAAATGCTCCGGCGGTTTGGCAACGACTGATCGACCAAGTCGTGGGTGCTGACTTGGAACGATTTGTTTTCGTCTACGATGTAATTATCTGTACACCAACTTTTGAACAACATATTAATATTCTTCGCGAGGTTATCCGGCGAATTTCCAAAGCGCGTCTTACACTTAATCAGAAGAAATGTAACTTTTGCAAGTCTGAATTGAGATACCTCGGTTACATTGTAAATGCCTCCGGATTGCTGGTGGATCCTGAGAAGGTCGAGGCTATTATGAGTATTCCCCCTCCTAAAAATATCAGCGAAATACGTCGTATAATTGGCTTGGCTTCCTGGTATCGAAGGTTTGTACCCAATTTTCCAACTTTGGTCGCTCCTCTCACTGCTTTGACCCGGAAGAATACAAAATTTGATTGGAGTAGTGCTTGTGATTCTGCATTCAATGCCGTTAAAGAACATCTTATTAAAGCTCCGATTTTGACTTGTCCTGACTTCGACAAGCCTTTCGTTATAAATTGTGATGCTTCTGACTTTGGAGTTGGAGCCGTCTTGATTCAAGGTCAAAATGATGACGAGCGAGTCATTTCCTATCTCAGTCGCTCACTCACGAAAAACGAGAGACGCTACAGCAGTACTGAAAAAGAATGTTTGGCGGTTCTTTTTGCAATAGAGAAATTGAGGCCCTATATTGAAGGAACCCATTTCACTGTCATTACAGACCATTACAGTATCAAATGGCTAAATTCCATGAAAGCCCCTGTTGGACATATTGCGAGGTGGGCAGTGAGACTTCAGTAGTACGATTTCGAAATTGTACATCGTAAGGGTCAAGATAACGTTGTGCCTGATGCCCTGTCCCGTTCCGTGCCTGGTGGTTGAGCCTGTTGATGTTGCTGCAGTTTGAAAACCACTCTTTCGAGTCAGATCCTTGGAATAGCCGATTGTTGGCAAATGTTCAGAATAATCCGGCCAAGTTCCCAAAGTGGTGAGTAGATAATGAAAACCTATATAAGTCTGCCAAAGCTGCCTATCCAGCTTTGATGGATAATAAGGATTC